ACACTGGTACCGAACTGTGAGGGCAACAACCACACAAGACTGACACACTGATACCGAACTGTGGGCAACATACACACAAGACTGACACACTGCATACCGACTGTGAGGGCAACATACACACAAGACTGACACACTGATACCGAACTGTGAGGACAACAAACACACAAGACGACACACTGGTACCGAGCTGTGGGGACAACAAGCTTACTAAGACTGACACCGCAATTTGCCGAGCAATGAGACTAGCTCTTTCCACACAAGACTGACACACTGGTGCCGAACTGTTGAGGACAACAAACACACAAGTTGACACACTGGTGCCGAACTGTGGGACAACAAACACACAAGACTGACACACTGATTTTGCCGAACACAATGAGGACAACAAGCACTAAGACTGACACACTGGTACCGGCTGTGAGGGGCAGCAACCACCAAAGACTGACACACTGGTGTACCGAACTGTGAACAACAAACACACAAAGACGAGCACACTGATACCAGAGCTGTGGACAACAAACACAAGACTGACACACTGGTACCGAGCTGTGAGGGCAACAACCACACCAAGACTGACACACTGAGGCGCCAGGCATGAGGACAACAACACACAAGACTTGACACTGGTGCGAACTGACAGGGACAATAAACACAAGATTTGACACACACTGGTGCCGAGCTGGCTACAGGGGACAACAACCACGCAAAGAACTGACACACTGTTGCCGAACTGTGAGGGACAACAAACACAAGACTGACACACTGATGCCGAACTGTGAGGGACCAACAAACACATAAAGACGACACACTGGTACCGAGCTGTGAGGGCATAACAGCTTTCCCACGCAAGACCTTGACACACTGGTACCGAACTATTGAGGACAACAACCACACAAGACTGACACACTGGTACCGAACTGTGAGGGCAACAACCACACAAGACTGACACACTGGTACCGAACTGTGAGGGTAACAACCACGCAAGACTGACACACTGATACCGAACTGTGAGGGCAACAACCACACAAGACTGACACACTGATACCGAACTGTGAGGGTAACAACCACACAAGACTGACACACTGGTACCGAACTGTGAGGGCAACAACCACACAAGACTGACACACTGATACCGAACTGTGAGGGCAACATACACACAAGACTGACACACTGATACTGTGAGGTCAACAAACACACAAGACTGACACACTGATACCGAACTGTGAGGGCAACAACCACACAAGACTGACACACTGGTACCGAGCTGTGAGGGCAACAAACACACAAGACTGACACACTGGTACCGAACTGTGAGGGCAACAACCACACAAGACTGACACACTGATACCGAACTGTGAGGGCAACAACCACACAAGACTGACACACTGATACCGAACTGTGAGGGCAACAAACACACAAGACTGACACACTGGTACCGAACTGTGAGGGCATCAAACACACAAGAGCAACTGACCCAGATTGCTTCTTTCTCAATCCCGACTCTCTGGTCTTTGGTATACACAGACAGTCGTTCGAAATGACAATGACACGCTGTTCGAATGACTGACACTTTACATTGATATATACAACGACTATTCGAAGCTGTTCAAGGTCATTTTTATCGTGTGAAGCTTCGAATATGAACACTAGCTGTTCGAAATTTTTAATAAATGTTCGAAATTATCAGATGTTCGTAATTTCAAGACAAAAATTGCTATCTGAATGACATCACTTGTTCGTAGTGACAGATGAACCAATCAAATGTCCATAAATTTCACAACAAGCTTTTTAGTAACATTTCAAACCAATCAAATGTTCGTAAATTATGCCACAAGCCTTTCAGCAAGTTCTTGACCAATCAGATTCGTCACAAATTGTGCAACAAGGTTTTTAATGGCCCTGAGTGGAGAAAAACAACTACCAAGTTAATTTGAAACTAGTTGTATGTTTAGGGATTAAAGTAACACAGTTTAGGGGAAAATACATTAGTTTAGGGAAAAACGAATCCGTTTAGGGGAAAAATTTGTTTTAGGAAACATTAGTTATGTTCACTGTTGTTAGTGTATTTAAAAACAAACATAGTGACTTTATATTTTTCAAACATTTATCCCTTGATGTTTTTGGCTATATTGGCGTAATCTTGGCTATATTGGCACTATCATGGGCTATATTGGCGCTCTTCTTGACAATATTGGTAGAAATACATTTATGACGCTACAATGGTGCTGCTGGACTACAATGGTGCTGTTATTAACTACACTGGAGCGGTTACTGCGAACTACTTTGGAAATACAGCAAAACCTCTATTTAACGAACTTTATAGAGATGAAAGTCCATTATATCGAGGGTCCATTAGACGTGGAAGCTCCATCTAACGAACTATATAAAGATGAAAGTCCATTATATCGAGGGTTCGTTAACTGTAAAAAAAACCCACGATGAAGAGAGAAGTTCCTTATATGGAGGTTTCTATTCTTAGATTAAATTTATTCATAATTAATAAAAAATAAACAATTCTCTTATCATTTATAAATTTGTTTTACCTGATCAAAATTATTTAATTCTTAAGTATTTTCTTTATTAATTATTATTGTTGTTAATTGTTATAAATATTTTAGCATTTTTAATATTTTTTATTTGAGAAAAAAATAGTCTTTTTTCTTCTCAGTTAGGGAATAAAGTGCTATACTTCTTGTGGCATTATAAGCGAAATTTAGTTCATTACCTCTGGTCTTATTAACCTTATATAAATTTCTACTGAGTCGTTCTTAAACTAAATATCTTGTGGCATAATTCACGTGTTATTTATAAACGTTTTAAAGTCCATTGTCAAACGTTTGTTCACCTGTTCAACCTCCACACCAGATGTTCAGATACCGTTCAGTCATATTTAGTTCAGGTATAATAATTTGTTCTTTCTGTTATATATATTTTATTATGTTTCTCTCTATCGTGATATAATTTATGTATAATTGTATTTTTATATCAATTATATTATCATTATTTGTGGTTTAATTTATTCTGTTTTCTCTAAGTTTATTTCTCAGTAATTTTTCAGACTTGGCAACAGTGATTATTTCATTTTTTTCCCAAATATTCAAGTTTAGTTCCCGTAATAGACTGTAATGTGCTGCTAATTACCACAAAGTTGCTCATTAATTACTAAGTCAAGTCGTTACCAAACTCTCAAAATATCTTACATAATAAGTATTGCCAACATGGGCTAGTAAGGTCTCTTTAATATATTATGTTTAACAAAATTACACGGATACATTATCAAGTGTTGCCAACATAAGGTGATACAAAATGTTGCCAATATCTGCTTGCAACATAACTCGTTCTCAGGATCAATAACTCCTGCTATCCTTAGTTGCAGCTGCAGTAAGGATGTCTTTCGTTAAATACTAAATTATTATAATCCTTCTGTGCAACTATAGCCCAAAAAAATAACACAACCAGTTCCAGGCAACACCCAAGTAACATACCAGTGCCAGGCAACACTCAAGTAACATACCAGGGCCAGGCAACACTCAAGTAACATACCAGGGCCAGGCAACACTCAAGTAACATACCAGGGCCAGACAACACTCAAGTAACATACCAGGGCCAGGCAACACTCAAGTAACATACCAGGGCCAGGCAACACTCAAGTAACATACCAGGGCCAGGCAACACTCAAGTAACATACCAGGGCCAGGCAACACTCAAGTAACATACCAGGGCCAGACAACACTCAGTAGCACACCTCCTGTGACTTAGTTCAGCAACACTAATTATTTTACACGATATAAAACTCTCCAAATATCGTCGTCATCTTTTTCCAATAATCTTCAAAAATCTAAGGAGTTTGTATTAATCATCTAAGGCAAAAATGAACCTCGTCTTCATATGTAGCAGTTGACTATATAAGTTGTGTTGGAGTTATTAAATAAAGGTATTTTACTCTACCTGGGCTAAATATGGCGTAACTCCTAAGATTTTTTAATATAGATAAACTTGTCTACTAAAGGTTGTCTACAGTGGTCTTAATTGTTTATTTGCTGTTTCAGAGTCACCTGTAGAGTGGACAGGTGTGGACGACCATTAACAGCAGGTATGTAAACATAAATTGTATATAGGCATTACTAGTATAGAGGGGGTTAGCACTCTCTTCACCCCGACAGGTTTCACCCCATAAGGTTATATAATTAAAATATCGATGTTAATTATGTATCATATTTTGGCATGACTTTATTTATGAAAATGATAAATAAATGCTAAAATGAATGGACATGATTTCTTACATAAAGACCTTCATAGTCTAGTGTAGATTATGACTCACAAACTGTCACGTAACCCAAAGAGGGAAATATATATATATCATGGTAGTACAAAATGTGGCCACGACAGGAAGAGGCTGGTTTACGTTACCTCAACCACATCAAAACACTGCTCCTCAAATACTGTGACCAAAACAACAGAGAAGCCTAAGTATATACAGTAAAAATGAGCTTCATCTCTACATTATTATGTGTTTACATGTAAAAGAAATAAACAGTCTCTGAAGGGCGACTAGCAGCAATATGTTGACATCTTAAGACAGTATTTATTTTTTTATGTTCTTTTTGTGATGATGTAGCGTAATGGGCGATGTTGTTTTGTTTATCAAGCTGGCCGGTCTACTGACTCGCTGCTGCTTAAGTTGTATAAACAAACAGCTGTACGAGAAGGCTACTGGGAGATGATATTTGGAGGCAGACTCTTCCATCCCAACAACATCTTGACTGCCGGGTGGTGGTGTGTGTCACGGTGATCCACACACACACACACGCACACACACACATAAAAGTCTACATTCACGGCCTCTTGTTTGCTTACTTGCTTCCGGAGTCGTCCAGACAGACACACGGACACCATGCGGGAATCAGTTCGCCACACCGTGAGTCAGTTCACACAATCACAATCTTGCGCACAATTTCGTGATGCCAATTTTTTTTTGTTTCTGGTGTCGTACCCACCAGGGGGCCATCACCAGTTGTCTCCCAGACGACGACCTACGGTGCTCTAGCGGAGGACCAAGCGGCGCAGCTCCTCTACTGACGCAGCTACAGCAGGGGCGGGCGAAAACAGCGGCCGAGGCGTCAAGAAAGAGGTGGGAGTCCTACGGGTGGGTGGTGTGACGGCCTCCATGGAGATAAACAACGAGGAAGGAGCTGCGAACATCCCTCACGGGATAAGGGGTGAGATTCAGGCTGGCCTGAGCGTGGCGGAGGTCGGTGGTTAGAGAGGCGGTCTCTTGGGCTCCTCGGCCAGGTTGAGGGAGGGCACGACCAGGGAGAGACTCTTCTTGAGGGTTCCCTTAGTGGCGGGCTGTGGGGAGCCTTCCTCCATGGGTGAGTCATCGTCGTCGTCCTCCACCGAGCTGAGGGTGATGCCTGGGTTTAGTAAGTCGTCCTCGATGCTCATGTCAGAGAGGCGTTCGAGAAGCACCTTCTCGCTGACGAGACCCTTCTTCCTGTAGCCCTTGACGTGTTTGACCTGGCCGTTGACCTGACCAGAGCTAGAGTTGAGTTGGTTCTGTTGGTTCTCCGTCTCGTTAGCCATCACTGTGGACGCTGCTGGTGGTGTCAGTGTGATGGGGTGACGGGAGTCTCCCGACCAAAGTGCAAGGCGGGTGATGAAGTTAGTGATGAGTGGCGACACTCACTGCTGGTTTGTCACTGCGCCCTAACACTGCTCTACTGTCCACTTTCACAAGGCTTGGCTCAGGCAGGAGACCTCGAGGGCCGGGAGAACACGTGTATCCGGTACGAGGTTGTGTGTGTAACTGGGTTGTGAGCGGGACGCGCGGTGTTATATACCAGCGGTGGGCGTCGTGCAGCTGGTGGCTGTGGTTGTAGCTACGGCCGGCGAGTGACTGAAGGCTGCGCGGTGACGCGGGAAGGCAGGTGGCGCTGGGCGGGGGGATCAGGGGGTTGTCCCTCCTTACTGACACGTGCGCAGAGCTGGCGGGCCTGCTGGGTTCCTGCTGGCTGCCTGTTGGGGGGTGGCTGGCGAACTGTTCCTCCCCCGGATTTTGAAGTAGTGGGCGTGTTAGGTGTTGATGAGTGGGCGTAGTTCTCACCGTCACCGTGAACAGTGTCCCGGGGTGGACTGGGAATGGGTCAAGTGGCTGGTCTGGGGTAGGAAGGCGGGTCTGTGGGGGTGGGGGAGTGATGGCGAGGGGGACCTGTGGGGTTGGCTGAGGCTGTGGTGGGGCGCTGCGGCTGTGTCGTGGTACTCGCTGCACACACAGCCGGGAGTTCTGAATTAGGAGAACCCCGCACAGCGCTGCGGCAGAACCTTTCTCTTGAACTTTGGTGCCGCTGCAAGAGTTGTAGGAGCTGACCCTGGGATGGTGAGGCGGCCGGGGCTGAGTGTCACACCTCCCTACTGTGTGACTCTGGCTGTGCTTGCCGCTGTGGTCACGTTGGGCGGCCACGGGCGTGCGGGCGGGTGTGATCTGGTTATTTCTCGTTATGGCAGCAGGTCTGGGCGGTCTTGGGGCTTCCTTACGGCGGTGTCGTGTGCTGAGGTGCTCATCCACCTCTACCAGGTAGCGTCGGGCACGGCGCTCGCTGTCCTCTTTAGGGCAGTGTCTCCAGGTGTGTCGAGCTCTAACACTTAAGCCAGTAATGTGCAGCCCCGCAAGTGAGGGCGCCTCGCTGGCCGCCTGTGTCTCTCTACTTCTCGGGAACCTGGATAGAAGTTTAACACGACGCTGGATCTGCCTGCTGAGATGTGTGACCCGCTGACTCTCTGGGTTATATACCTGACTCTGGGTATCCTTTGAGTCATCTGAGGGACGTGACTCACCGCCAGGGTGTTCCTCAGACGGTGAGGCTTCCTCCCCCTCCTCCCTCCCAGATCTTGAGGAAGCCGCCGTCCCCGCTGCAGCCTCTCGGTCGCCTCCTTCATTGGCCGTCTCGGGTGATGACGCCATTATCATCAACGCCGCCTCATTGGATAGCTTCCCATATGGCGTCACGACCCCGAGGCAGTGTTCGCTCGGCCACTGGTCTGGGAAATGATGACGAGGCCGTGACGTGGTGGGCATGTGGAGGTAGTGACGTCAGTGGGGCAGGGGGGAGAGAGAGCGTCCTCCAGGGTGTGAGAGGGCAGACGAGGTCAGGATGAAGGTGTGTGACGCACTCGGCACCATCACGCACACTTCCTGCGAGACACAAAGCTTATCAGCACCAGACTTCCGCCTTACACTACCACACTCAACTAGGGTGACCTGGGTATAACTAGGGTGACCTGGGCATAACTAGGGTGGTTATGTGTACAAGTTGTGACGTCATAATGTACAGTGAGTCTGGGTAATAATAGAGTACATGTACTCAGATGTGTACTTGTAATTTGCTGTTATTTATACAGTGATGGTGAGAATAAAGTCATCGTACTCAAGGGGTTAAGTCATCGTACTCAAGGGGTTAAATCATCGTACTCAAGGGGTTAAATCATCATACTCAAGTAACTCAAGAGGTTAAATCATCATATTTTGGGGTTAAATCATCATACTCAATTATTCAAATCATCATAACTACCTTTCCACATCATTACATCACACTAACGACCTTAATACACAATCATCTATACAAGCGATCATATCCACACAACTCCCTTAGTTAAACCAACAGGAAAACTGCATCGCTTATTGACCTCTTTTGCTCATTAACCCCCCCCCCACCTCTACCCTCCCCCTCCTCACCCCATCTTCCCCTCCCACACACCCCACCTCACCACCCCCCCGTTCCCCCTACCACCCCCCCCCTTTTTATGTCAGCATACACCATGACTATCATAGTGCCTTCTAGTGCCACATGAGACTTACGTAAGATCATCAATGCCAGAGAGTGCCAGTGTGGCTTCCTAGGTTATCAAACTGTGCCACATCGACTTGTATTGGGTGTTTATAAAGTCCCTTGATGTTTGTGTTTATAAAGTCCCTTGATGTTTGTGTTTATAAAGTCCCTTGATGTTTGTGTTTATAAAGTCCCTTGATGTTTGTGTTTATAAAGTCCCTTGATGTTTGTGTTTATAAAGTCCCTTGATGTTTGTGTTTATAAAGTCCCTTGATGTTTGCGTTTATAAAGTCCCTTGATGTTTGTGTTTATATAGTCCCTTGATGTTTGTGTTTATAAAGTCCCTTGATGGTTTTGTGTTTATAGTCCCTTGATGTTTGTGTTTGTGATGGAGGTCCAGGCCCTTGATGTTTGTGTTTATAAGCCCTATAAGTTTGATGTTTGTCCCCTTGATCCCTTGATGTTTGTTTTATAAAGTCCCTTGATGTTTGTGTTTTAAAGTCCCTTGATGTTTGCGTTTATAAAGCCCTTGATGTTTGTTTATAGTCCCTTGATGTTTGTGGTCCTTGATGTTTGTGTTCCTTGGTGTTCATCGTCCTCAAAAGGTTAAATCATCGTCCTCAAAGGGTTAAATCATCGTCCTCAAAGGTTAAATCTATCGTCCTCAAAGGGTTAAATCATCGTCCTCAAAGGGTTAAATCATCGTCCTCAAAGGGTTAAATCATCGTCGTCAAAGGGTTAAATCATCGGTTAAATCATCGTCTCAAAGTCATCCTCAAAGGGTTAAATCATCGTCGTCGTCAAAGGGTTAAATCGTCCTCATCGTCCTCAAAGGGTTAAATCAAAGGGTTCATCGTCCTCAAAGGGTTAAACCATCGTCAAGGGTTAAATCATCGTCTCAAAGGGTTAAACCATCGTCCTCAAAGGGTTAAATCATCGTCCTCAAAGGGTTAAATCATCGTCGTCAAAGGGTTAAACCATCGTCCTCAAAGGGTTAAACCATCGGGGTTAAATCATCGTCTTCAAAGGTTAAAACCATCGTCCTCGGGGTTAAATCATCGTCTCAAAGGGTTAAACCATCGTCCTCAAAGGGTTAAACCATCGTCCTCAAAGGGTTAAATCATCGTCTCAAGGGTTAAACCATCGTCCTCAAAGGGTTAAATCATCGTCCTCAAAGGGTTAAATCATCGTCTTCAAAGGGTTAAACCATCGTCCTCAAAGGGTTAAACCATCGTCCTCAAAGGGTTAAATCATCGTCCTCAAAGGGTTAAATCATCGTCCTCAAAGGGTTAATAACACAACCTAAATAATACATAACAGAAATACATAAAATACAATATTACGAAATAAAGGCCTGAAAATAGCCGCTGTAATTAACAACATTAGCCTTAAAATACGTCGACTAATGGTCATAATTATGTTAAAAATAACCCCGACCACAGTATCTACACGGGAAATTTATAAATATTCATAGTATATATAGCTTAGGTTAAGTTTATATAGGGGTGAGGTTAAGCAAAGTACGTGTGTGTGTGTGTGTACTTGACTCCCACACACACACACATACAGTACACACACACACACACATACACACACAAACTTTAATGCATGACCAAGGCAGAAATAAACTCCTTTAGTCATGCAGTCGCTAAATATATATATTCATACCTTAAAAATAAACACTGGCAACCCCTCACGCCCACACACCTGTACTTAAATAAGACTCAGTGACTCACCTGTTAATTAAGGCGACTATAGACTCATTGATTCATCTACTTACGTTTGAAGACTCACTGATTCACCACATATTATCACTATTATATTTCTTAGCGTTTTTTTAGCCTAATTTAAGCTATAAATATATTCCCCACCAATCTCTTAGCTTTTGGTGACGCTAAATGTCTCTTTTAATATGTTTCATAGCCTTAGGAGCTATAAATATCACCAATATAGCTGTTAGCCTTACTCCAAGCTAGAAATATCCCCACCATGGTTGAAACTTATCCACATTATAGCTTTTAGCTTAAGTGATCCGCTTTTAGCTTGGATTAACACGGCCGACCTTCACTGCTTCTCCCTCACTGTCTTATCTCTACGCCAGGGGGTCTTCTTTATCTTCCGCCAGGCGAAGATAAGACCGACGTAATGTAGAATGCGCTGAGTGGCGGAAGTGCGTTATTTATGCGTCATTTGCGTCGGTTTGAGCTGATAGCGACGTGCTTGATGACGCTGTCTTAGGGGGCGAATTATGGC